ATGCCTATCCAATGAAGTCTCCATATAAGGCCCGTAAAGACAGGGTTCGGGGAGCTTCTGGATAGTTGAACAAATAGAGGCCTACAGGATGCTGAATAAGGACCCATCCTCGTGCAGGGAGGGTGGCACACCCCAACTCCACGGGGACAGTGCTCCTGTGTTCAGGATTCCAGACTTCACCCTAGGTGTCTCTTCATCTGGATATTTATTGGTGTCATTTAAAATATCCTTTGAGGCTGGGTGTGTGGCTCATGCCTGAAATCCTAGCACTCTAGGCGGGTGGATCGCCCAAGGTCAGGAGTTCAAAATCAGCCTGAGCAAGAGCCAGACCCCATCCCTACTATAAATAGAAAGAAATTAATTGGCCAACTAAAAATATATAGAAAAAATTAGCCGGGCATGGTGGCGCATGCTTGTAGTCCCAGCTACTCTGGAGGCTGAGGCAGTAGGATCGCTTGAACCCAGGAGTTTGAGGTTGCTGTGAGCTAGGCTGATGCCTGGGCAACAGAGTGAGACTGTGCCTCAAAAAAAAAAAAAAAAAAAAAAAAAAAAAATATATATATATATATATATCTCCTTTGTATTCATTCAGCAAATGTGTTTCCCTGAGTCCTGTGAGCTGCTCTAGCAAAGTAACTGAAATTAATCTAAAATTAGCAAGTACTAATGAGAACAGAAAAAACAAATTATCAAAAAAATGCTGACTAGTGCAAACTATAACAACACACAATATTTTGCTCTGAGATTACTAGCAGTGGAGGCAAAGATGAACACATAATGACTTTAATTATCTCTCCCTGTTGAGTCACAGGAAGCAGATGTGTACATTAGTACAAGAATTTTTCATCCTAGCCCTTAGTTTTGAGAGGAGTTTGTTAAGGTCTTTGAGCTAATTCAATGAATGGCACCATGTAAGGCTGTTTAGTGAGAAATACAGAGGTCATTCACATAGGGCTGGCTTCTGATTTAACCTTTGAGACTGTTGGGCCTTGGAAACTGACACCCCAAAATATGGCATTTTGACATGCTGAACTGGAGCCTCAAGTTCTCTAAGATCTCACCCTTCCCACAGACTCTCCCAAAGAAGTTGAAATTTCCTTTTCTGCCTAAGATTTAGATCCCCCAAGAGAACAACAGTTTTTTCCTCCCCCTCCTGGTAAGACTAGGAATGTAACCACACCTGTCCAGACTCTTTTATAAGATAATATCCCCTGGAAACTCAGACTTGGTGGGGGGGAAAGGGCATTTATTGAAACCTTAAAATCTGTACCCCCATAATATGCCAAAATAAAAAAAAAAAGAAAAAAAAGATAATATCCCACCTCTCAGACTCATTCAAATTCCAAAGAGAACTCCTTACATGTTAATTCTGTTCCCCATCCAGTCATTTTCCCTTAGTAATCATTTCCTGCCCCTGAACAGAATCCTTTTCTTCCCCCTCCATAACCTGTTCTTCCAGGATCCAAGCCCCCATCCTTTCTGTTACCTCAAGATCTCTCCACTCGTATTGCCACTCTTGAGGTCCAAGTCCCTATAGCATTGTCTGGTTTGCTGCACAGCCTAACTCATTGCTTGTTTCTGGTCTCTTCCAGAAACTATAAACAAACTATCCTTCACACTGCTTCCACCTTAATATCTCGAAGAGATTGCAATTTTATTCCTCTGTTTAAAAATGTTTCCGTGATTTGCAAATTTCTTACTGTATGAAGTGTAAATTTACTAGCTTGCTGTTTAAAGCCTCCTACAACCAGCCCCTGGCTGACCCCCAACTGATCATCTTAAAGTGGAGGATTTACACCCTAGGAGTGGGGGTGGGGGAAGGAGGAGGATTTGAAGTAACAGGGTAAAACCTAGTGCATCCTCTATTCTGGAAGTGTCAATGCACCACCAAACAATTACTTTAAAACATTTTTTTTAATGGTAAAACAAGCACAGATGTTACAGGGCAGAATATAATATTTACATGAATTTTAAAGTTAATGCTAGGACTTTAAAGACTTCTTAATGATTTTTGAGGACTGAACTCTGATCTTTTTCTTTTGCTCAAAATTCCTTCCTAAGGAGGCCAGATGAGTCACACTCACAAATGGTAAATTCCCACTAAGCAGGTTTTGTTAACCACATAAAGTGTGGTTTACTTCCCAACCTGATTCCCGTATAGCATTAACGTCACTTAAAAGATAGAAAGCTCCCATCTTAACTCAAGCATCCTAGCAGATACTGTGTTTCCCCGAAAATAGGACCTGCCCATAAAATAAGCTCTAGCAGGATTTCTAAGCATCTGCGCAATAGAAGCCCTACCCCGAAAATAAGACCTAATGATGGGCTACGCAGCCTATCTGCACAACCCATGCATTTCGTCTCCGAGTGGTAAAGAAGATGAGCAGCCCTCTCATCTGCCCCATGAGAGCTCTATTGCTTGACATGAGAGATTGGGGCCAATGGCACTAAAGGAAATAGAGTCACAAGAAGTTCAGGATGGAATTCGGGGTTTGGAGAGTTATGATGATGTTCCAGAAGAAGATGACTTAACTATATTTGAATAAATGTAGATTGTTATACTGTACTTAAAAAAAAATAACACATCCCCTGAAAATAATCCTTAGGGTGTCTTCTGGAGGAAAAATAAATATAAGACCCTGTCTTATTTTCAGGGAAACACGGTACCTATCTTAACTTGAAAGAGCCTCCTGTCTGGACCTCCCAGAGTGCTCATGCCTTTATCTTAAATTAAGCATTTCCTTTCTGAACTTTTAGACAAGCCTAACTCTCTCAGCCAATTTGTCAGCCAAAGAATCTTTAACCTCACCTATAACCTGTAAGCCCTCCCCCCTTCCAGATGTCCCACCTTTTTGGGCCAAACCAATGTATGCCTCTCATGTATTGATTTATGACTTTACCTGTAACTCCTGTTGAAAGGCCCAAACTAGCCTAAAGGCCCAAACTAGCCTAACCAGCTTTTCGCTTCTGTAACTATGCTTGCTCTTAGGTAATTAAGACCCCTACCCCTCCCTTTTTCTTTTTCTTTTCCCGTAAGTGTCCCTTGCAAGTTCTCGGAATTGGGTAGTGGTCGGGCAACTGGTTGTGCAAGATGGAGCTACTGGAATTTCCCCACCCTAAACTCCCCGGCCACCTGCGTGTGGTCTTGCCCCATAAAAACCCTAAGCTTGAGAGCTTCGGGGCGGCAGCCTCCCCATCTTGGTGATGCTGTTTAGCCCCTGCGCGCGCTGGAAATAAATCCTCTTGCTCTCTTGCATCAAGCCTCTGGACTCTGAGTCTTTTTGGGCGGTCGTCTCTCTCCCAAACGGGCTGTACATTTCTACGGCCCAACACTGTCTCTCTGAAATGTAAAAAACCAAACTGTAACCCAGCCACAGCGAGCCCATTTGCTCAAGGCTTCTTGGGAGTGGCTTTGGGCATGGTCCTCAAATTTGGCTCAGAATAAACTTCTTTCAAATATTTCAGAGTTTGGATTTTTCCATCCACATTTTGCTGGGCCATGTTCCAACACCCTGAATGGTATCTGTTCCTAGCCCCCTCCAAACTGCCCCAGTCTTTGGTACTTGAGATGACAAAAAACTGACCCTGGAATCACCTTTTTTAAATTCCCATGTCAACGGAAAAGAAGCCAAACTCAGTAAAATATTTTATAGCAGTTTATTCTGAGCTACATTTGAGGACCACGGTCTGGAGCCATGCCCAAGAAGCCTTGATCAAGTGGACCTACTGTGGCTGGGTTACAGTTCGGTGTTATGCATTTTCATGGAGACGGGAATTACAGGTAAAAGTCATAAATCAATACATGGAAGGCATACACTGGTTTGGCTGGAAAAGGTGGGACATCTCAAAGCAGGGGTGGGAGGTGAGGATGGGGCTTACAGGTTATTGGTGGGTTTAAACACTCTTTGACTTATAATTGGTTAAAGACATGAAGCTTTGCCTAAAGCTTGGAATGTTTTAAATTTAGATGAAGTCTTTTAATCTGAGAAAAGTTCTAAAATGTATATTTGTTGTGTAAATTGAGGACTTGCAGGTTTGTCTTGTATAGCTTTAGGCCTGTTAATGAGTCAGGAAGACTGTCTCCAAGAAGGGAGGGGGGGATGAGGAGGCATGTCTGACCTCCCCTCTCTTGGCTGGTAACTTCAGTTTTAGAGTGTCCCCTTGGCCAAGAGGGGGTCCATTCAGTCAGCCAGCGGGGAAGTCTTAAGATTTTATTTTAGTTCACACCCATCTCCAAGCTTTCAGACAGCTGTAACACTAGCTCCTCTACTCAAATGCCTTTCTTTCAAGTCCCAGCAACTCTCCCCTAACATCCCCTGAGCCTGATGGGAAGTCACAGCAAGTACCAAAATCAGTCCAGGAAGCACTTAGCACAAAATGCTCCCTTGATCATTTCACAGGACCATACTTTCAGAAAAGTTCTTGCGGGCCATCTAGCCCAATCTCCCCATGAACAAAGGACAAACCCAGGGAGATAAAGGTGATGTGTTTTGGCCTCCTACTGGAAACGAAGCAACCCAGGGCTGGTTGGACCTGTGCAGGGTCGTGCCTGGCTAAGACTCCTCCATAAACACATCATCTGAAGAGTGCTTTCAGCTACTCCAACGCTCCACGTGGAAAAGATACTGAGGTGTGCAGGGCAGGCACCGTCGGTTTTACAATTTAAATAACAGATCCGGATAAGAACCGGGTCCAGAAGGCAGGAGGTGCCTGGTGGCGTTCAGTAAAAATCAGCCAGTTGGATAAAGGGAAGCAACTGCCCATATGGCCAGAAGACAGAGGGAAGAGGGGACTAAGCCTAATAGTTTTGATAAAGATCCCTGACCACACCCTCCGAAGACCCCTTAGTAAGCGCTTGTAAACGCGAGACAAAGTCGAGCCCTGAGGCCGCCGCGCAAGCGCAATGGCGCAGAGCGGCCGCAAACCACGCCCCCTAAGCCCGGCGGCGGCCGGCACCCACCCCGACCCACAGTGCGCACGCGCGGCGGCGCGGGGGCGTGGCAACGCGACCAGCTCTCCTGAGGGCTTGTTCGAGCGCTGCAGCTATTTCGAATTTGGCGACATTGGTGCTGGTTCCTCGCCGACCTTGCCTCAGCCAAGCAGTCCTGCTGGCGAAGCGGTGAGCGCAGTGCCTCGTGGTGGCAGAGCTGAGGAGAGGTTGATGAGCAAGAACAGACTGGTGGACACACTAGCGGGCTGTGCGCGTGGGACCTCTGTGTTCAAGGGGCGGGCGGGAGTGAATGGCGGGAAAAGTTCCGGAACTGAGGGGCGGCCAGAGTGTGATTGACAGGCGAGAGACCAATGCCGGGGTAAGGGCCGGCCAATGAGGGCACCAGCTGCAGTTGAACTGGAGTGGCGGGTAGGAGTTATTAATACGACAGCAGGTGGGCCGGGCGCGGTGGCTCACGCCTGTAATCCTAGCACTCTGGGAGGCCGAGGCGGTGGATTGCTCGAGGTCAGGAGTTCGAAACCAGCCTGAGCAAGAGCGAGACCCTGTCTATACTATAAATAGAAGGAAATTAATCAGCCAACTAATATATATAGAAAAAATTAGCCAAGCATGGTGGCGCATGCCTGTAGTCCCAAATACTTGGGAGGCTGAGGCAGCAGGATTGTTTGAGCCCAGGAGATTGAGGTTGCTGTGAGTGAGGCTGGGCAACAAAGGGAGACTCTGTTTCAAAACAAAAGAAAACAGACAAACAAATATGATAGCAGGTGACCCGTCTTTAACTTAAACTTAGAGGTCAGTACAACAGCATGAGTGAGTACTGTTACCCATGTCTGTTTTACCTATGGGGAAACTGAGGCTTAGAGATACTAACTTAAGCAAGGACACAGCTGGGATCCCAAATTTGGGAACCTCACCCTAGAGCTCATCCTGGTAACAGCTCTACAGTTCTGCTGGCCCTTAGAACTGGGAGTTAGGGCGGAGCAGGGTCCAGTAACAGGACTGGGATGAATGCAGTGGACCAGATTGTAGGCGGAAGTGTCAAAGTAGTGAACTTAAATAAATACCTGGGTGGGTCCTACACAGTGTGAGAGCTCAGAGGGTGGAAACTGAGGGGAGGAAGACAGGACAGAGCAAGGGGAGAAAGTGGGTTTTATGGGCCAGGCTGTCCCCCAGCTTGGTGGAGCATGGCTGCACTGCAGCATGACGTGGCTCTGGATTAACAGCAGGTGCAGAAAGGTTTTCTCTTGAGGGCTGTGGTGTTTCCAGGTGTGCATTTTAGGAGTATAGCAGTATTATGGTACCTGGAACAGAGTTGCCTGGGTCGGCCGCGGGTAGCTGCCATAACAAAGTAACATGGATGGAAGAGTCAGTCCTCCACATGGTGATTCAAGGAAGAAAGGGTTGGTAAAAGCCATCTCAGAGAAAGTTGGGTTCAGAAGAGGAGAAAAAAGCTCACATAAACATGGAGCAGAGGCTCCTCATAGACCTTGGTCTAGCAAGCAAAGAGAAATGCGAGGTCTCAGTTTTGGGAAATCTGTTCCAGCCAGAGCTCAGTGGCTGTGAAGAGAGCTCTCCACTCTAGAGCCAGACCGAAAGCTCTTGTTTCTCGAGGACAGAGCAAGTATTAGGAGGCAGCTCTGGTTTGTACTGGAAGCAGGGGCTAGGGTGAAGTAAGAAGCAAACGAAGGATACCTGTAAGGTACTGACGTATATGTTCACTTGCACCATCCAAACCAGCTGTGCTCACACTCCTGCCCCTGTGCCGCGATCTTCCAGGTCTTCACTACACGGTAAAGTGAGGCTGCTGTGGCGTGCGAATGCTGCATTGCAGAGACGTGTGGGAAGAGTGCTGCCAAAGTCATCACACGCAACATCCTTGATCCCAGGGGTGCACCTCTTCGAGAGGACATCTCTAAGCCTTTTGTGGAGGCATTAAAAAGGTATTTAAGCAGTGGTGGAATCGTAGCAGAGATTAGGTTTGGAGGCTGTCCGAGGTTGCATTCTGCTATAGCCATTAATTGTCCCTGTATGCATTGCTTGATTCTGGTGTGGCTTCATGTGGGCCTGTAAAAGACGGAGAGAACATGTTCTCTGCTTGCAAGAAAACATACAGCCCCAGGAGACATTCTGTAACAAGCGTGGAGACTGTTTTTAGATACTGCTCTGGATTTCAAGCCCCTTCTGCCTGGGTCATGAGAGAGCTACCATATTTATTTCTTTTTCCTAGGACCATGGCTGATAGAACCCAGAAGATTCCTGGTGTCCAATTTCCATTTCCCTTCACACCTTATTCCATCCAGAAAGACTTTATGGCAGAGCTGTACCAGGTTTTGGAGGCTGGCAAGATTGGGATATTTGAGAGCCCAACTGGCACTGTGAGTATGAATAGTGAGAGACCATGAGTAAGAAAACTCAGAGGCGGTCTTGCTCGCTCTTACTACTTGCCTATGCAGAGATTTTCATGGTTTGAAGTTCGGCAAAGTGGTGTGTCAGTTTATCTTTCTGAGTAATAGTCACTTCGTCTATAAATAGTGTTAAACAAAGCAGCAAAGTCTGAGAAAAGTTATGCTCAATGCAGATGAGGATTTGCATGGCCAAGGAAGCCATGGCCTATAGCACTGAAATTTTCCAGACTTCTCTGGGCACGTAACTGGTTTGATGATGAGAAAGCACAGAAATTACTTTGGCTTTTTCACGGATTAACCATTTGGTTCATTTTAACACAGAGTCTTGCTCTGTGGCCCTGGCCAGAGGCAGTGGCGTCATCATTGCTCACTGTATGTAACCTCAAAGTCCTGGGCTCAAGCAATCCTCCTGCCTTAGCCTCCCAAGTAGCTGGGACTACAAGTCCACGCTACCACGCTCAACTAATTTTTTCTATTTTTTTGTAGACATGTGATCTTGCTCTTGCTCAGGTCTCGAACTCCTGAGCTTAAGCAGTCTTCCCACCTCAGCCTCCCAGAGTGCTAGGATTGTGTGAGCCATGGTGACTGGCCAAAACATACTGGTTTAGTCCCCAGGAACTGGGTTACTGAGCGCTGGAGGGATCTGATCAAGTGCCCCTTAGTTTTGTTTCCATGGCTGGGAACAAGGCATGTATTAGAGGTTGGCAGTTGAGGAGGAGTGGGGCTGTGGCAGTCCCCAGTGTCTCTCCTGCCCTTTGTTTATTACCCTTTATAGCAAGTACTGTGTAATGATAAAATGTTTTGCTGTGAAGGGCCCCCAGCTAGGGTGGGATCTCTTAGAGGAGAAGGAACTGTGAGCCTTAGCAGGGCTTAGCAAGGTTGGCCCTTAGGAGGTTCTTAGTATGTGTGTGCTGAGTGAAGGAGTAAGAAAAAGCAACTCATCCCCTTCTCTGGTTTGCTTATGGGAGCATGTCACTCTTTTTGGAGGTGACACAGGGATCTCTTGGGGCAAGAAGAGTGCAGAGTGGGATACTTTGTTGTTCCATTTTGTTCTCTCGTATACAGTCAATTGAGACAGTAAGTCCTGTAAGTTAACAAAGAGTGGGTCATGAAAATGGGCTGGGTGTGGTGGCTCACGCCTATAATCTGGGAGGCCAGATTTTCCTAGCACTCTGGGAGGCCAACGCAGGAGAATCATTTGAGCTCAAGAGTTTGAGACCAGCCTGAGCAAGAGCAAGACCCTGTCTCTACTAAAAATAGAAAGAAATTAGCTAAGCAACTAAAAATATATAGAAAAATTTAGCTGGACATGGTGGTGCACGCCTGTAGTCCCAGCTACTTGGGAGGCTGAGGCAGAAGAATCGCTTAAGCCCAGGAGTTTAAGGTTGCTGTGAGCTGACTCCATGGCACTCTAGCCATGGAGTCAACATGCCCAGCCACTCTGGGCAACAGAGTGAGACTCTGTCTCAAAACGAAAATAAAAAAAAAAAGAGTGGATCATGAAAATGGCGTTCATGGTTTTCTTAGATAGTGTTCTGTTAACATTCCTACCATTTAAACCTAATGCCATTTGACTTTTCCCCCTACTAACCCTATGAAATGTTGTTTTAGGGTCTGATTTACAGCTTTGTATTTTTCAAGTCCTTACTTGACCATTTGCTACATTTGATATTTTTGAATATATTTGCCTTTTATTTGATTTTTTAATTTAATTTAATTTTTTTTTTTTTTTTAGATACAGGGTTACGCTCTGTTGCTCAGGCTAGAGGCAGTGGCACCATCATAGCTCACTGTAACCTCAAACTCCTGGGTTCAAGTGGTCCTCCTGCTTCAGCCTCCTGAGTAGCTAGAACTGTACCACCATGCTGGCTAACTTTTTATTTATTTATTTTTGCTAGAGGTGGGATCTGGCTGTGTTGCCCAGGCTGGTCTCTAACCCTTGGCCTCAAGTGATCCTCAAATCAGCCTCCCAAAGTGTTGGGCTTACAGTCTTGAGCCACCATGCTCAGCACATCCTTTTTTAACTAAAAGTTAAAGAATAATGCATGTCATTCAGAAAGTCAAATGTAGGAAATTTAATTCCTTGAGCAGGTACTTTTCTTTTTTTAAGTTTTTCTTTTTCTTTTTTTTTGAGACAGAGTCTCACTCTGTTGCCCAGGCTAGGGGGCTGTGGTGTCAGCTTAGCTCACAGCAACCGCAAACTGTTGGGCTCTAGCAATCCTCCTTCCTCAGACTCCTGAGTAGCTGGGACTACGGGCATGTGCCACCATGCCTGGCTAATGTTTTACATATATATATATATATATTTTAGTTGTCCAGCTAATTTCTTTCCATTTTTTTTAGTAGAGACAGGGTCTTGCTCTTGCTCAGGCTGGTCTCGAACTCCTGAGCTCAAATGATCCTTCTGTCTCTGCCTCCCAGAGTGCTGGGATTATAGGTGTGAGCCACCACGCTTGGCCAGTTTAGTTTTAATATACCTATCCCCATCCCTTCCACACTATCCTCTGGCCTCTTAATATGGTTTTCCACAGAGAAAATGACTGTCTTAGTCTGCTAGGGCTGCATGATAATATGTCATAGAATGGGGACCTTAAACAACAGAAATTTCTTTGCTCACCATTCTGGAGGCTGGAAAGTCAAAGATCAAGGTTTGGGCAGGATTTGCTTTCAGAGGACCGATTTCTTCCTGGCGTGCAGATGGCTGCCTTTTCTCTGTGTTCTCATATGGGGAAGAGAAAAAGAGATCTTTAGTGTCTCCTCCTCTTTGTAAGAATATGGGCTCTATGGATCAGGGCTGTGCCCTTAGGAATGCAATTAACTTTCATCATCTCCTAAAGGCCCTATCTCCAGTACTTCACATGGGGGCATTAGGATTTTAACATATCAATTGGGAGGGAGACAATTGAATTCATAGCACTTACCAACTCCATTTTTACCTTGGAGCTGTCCTTGAATCCACCATCCTTTTCCCCTAATCTGAATTAGTTGTGCCTCTGACCTACTTGACAGCATTTCCTAGGGAAGTCCTAGATTCCCCTTTCTCCTTTTGTAAAAATTAACTTTGAGGCTGGCCAAGGTGCTCATACCTGTTAGCACTTTGGGATGCTGAAGCGGGAGAAACCCTTGAGGCCAAGAGTTCCAGACCAGTCTGGGCAATATAGCAAGATCCCTTCTCCAAAAAACTCAGCTGGGTGTAGTGCTATGTACCTGTAGTCCCAGCTACTTGGGAGGCTGAGGCAGGAGACTTGCTTGAGCCCAGGTGTTTCAGGTTATAGTGAGCTATGATGACACCACTACACTCTAGCCCAGGCAACAGAGCGAGACCCTATCTCAAAAACAAAACAAAAAAAAAACTTTGAGTATAATTGACATACAATAAAATGTGTTACTTGTAATTCTTCAAATTCTGTGAGTTTTGACACCCAGATTACCATCACGACAATCAAAATGCAAAACATTCCCATCACCCCAAGAAGTTTGTTGACACCTCTTGGCAGTTGTTCCCTGCTCCTGTTCCTTCCTCCTCCCAGTCCCAGGCAGTCGTTTATCCACTTTCTGTCTCTGTAGATTGGTTTTATTTTAACAGAGTTTCATAAAAATGGAATCATACAGTATGTGGACTCCTGTGTTTGGCTTTTCTTGACCAGCCTTAGTAATATTTTGGGCATTTATTCATGTCGTTATGTGTATTCTTTTCCTATTCTTTCTGCTTTGGATTCTTTTTTCTGGATTCTGTATCTTCTTGGTTTACTTCCTCATCTCGATGGAGCACATTCCTGTGAACAGTTGTATGGGAGGAAAGTTTTTGAGGCTTTGCTTGTCCAAAAGTACATTGATTCTTCCTTTTTACGTGATTGATATTGATAGTTTGATTGGGGATATCATTCTAGCTTGAAAGAATTTCCCTTGCACTTGCTCCCTATGTCCTTTAGTTTCCATGGGTGCCATTGAGCAGTCCAGTGACAGATGGCATCTCATTCCTTTGTGACCTGATCCTGTTTCACCTTCCACAGTTTTTAGGTTCTTCTCTTTATCCTTTGTGTTGTGAAATTTCATGTTGATGGGCCTGATGTGTGTGTTTAATTCCTTTTGTTGGGCGTTTGCTGGGCCCTTTCAACCGTGGGCTTCTACCTTTCAATTCTGAGAAATTTTCTTAGATTTGATAATATTCTTTTCCGTGTTTTCCTATTGGTGTTCCCATTCATTAGGTTTTCGACCTCCTGGTAATCTTGTTATTATCTTTCTTCTAATTGCTTTATTAGTAATTAATAAACCCTAGTATATTTTGCATTGAATTCTACTTCTTTGGGATTTCTTTGAATTCATTGCCCAGTCTTTCCATTCAGGTTATTTCTGCTATTGTGTTTTTAGTATTCAAGAATTTGTTCTTTTCCCTGATTTTTGAAATAGCATCCTGTTCAATGTCAAGAAACAATATCCTTCTGAGACTATCAATTATGGTAGTATTTTGAAGGGCTTTTTCCCCCTTCATTCTTTAATTTTTGTTTGTTTGTTTGTTTTTGCCCCCCACAGTTTGGGTTCTTAGTCCATTTTGTGTTGCTATAAAAGAATACCTGGATAAGTTATAAAGAAAAGACGCTTACTTAGCTCACAGTTCTGGAGGCTGAGAACCTGGCCTGACCCTGGCCTCTGGTGAGGGCCTTCATGCAGAGTCACAATATTGTGGAGGAGGTCCAGGGTGAAGAAGACCCCTGCGAGGAAGAGGGGAAAACCTGAGGGTTGTCCTGGCTTTATAACAACCCACTCTCACTCCATTCCCATAAGAACCAGTCCAGTCTCGGGAGAGCGAGAACTCACTCCTGCGAGAGCAGCATCAAGCTGTTTGTTCATGCGGGGTCCACCCCAATAACTCAGACACCTCCCAATAGGCCCCACTTCCCAATACCACCACACTGTGAATCACATTTCAACGTGAGTCTTGTTGGGGCCAAACAAACCACATCCAAGCCCTAGCAGGTTTTATGTTCTGTTTGGAGACTTTCCTCAAACGGCCAGTGATCCTTGGCTTTCTTCTCTTGCTGTTGCAGAATAAGCCACTAGCAGGCAGGTGGCAAGTCTGTTGGGCAGGCTGGCTGCAGGCTGGTGGGCTGGGCTGCTCTTTGGGGGCCTCCACTGGCTGGCAAATCTGTGGGATTTTCCCTCAAGCCGTTCAGTTTCTCCAGAGAGGGCTCCTCTAACTCTTGCCTGGCTGGCACAGGGGCACGAGCCTGACTGGCAGTCTTCTTGACAGCTGTCTAGGGAAAGTGGCTCTAGGTGCACAGTCTTTCCCTCAGTGTCCTGCTCCAGCCTGGCCCGGGTCATCCTCCCTCTTTGTTCTGCCTGTGTGTCCAGAGCTCTCCTGGCTTGGCTTCCACAGAGAATCCACTTCTTCTTTTCCGCAGGGAGTTGGGGCTACAGCCTGGGGATCTAATTGTTCTTGAAAAGAATTTCAATCTGTCCTTTGTCTTCAGTGCCATGCCACATGCCTGCAGGGTTCTGGGTCTTTCTGAGGGTGAACTGGGGGATCTCTGGATGTACCCAGGCTTTATTGTCTCTGGTGAATCAGCTGCATTTCTCTGTCTTCTTTCCTTCTTTCTCAAAACTTGTTATTGTCCCTTCTTTCACTTTGTTTTTGTGGGTGTAAGCTACTTTATGACTTTGGTTTAATTTTTAGTGTGTTTGGAAAAGAACACCAAAGAGCATGTGTTCATTTCACCTTGTGTAACTGACCGTCAGTCTCCTCCCTCCCAGGTCTTTCCATCTCAGTCCTTTGCTCAGCCCTGAATTGTTCATGTTGTCAGTGCTGCAGCCTCCTCCTCCTCTTGTGCGCTTTCTGTGTAAACCTGCCAGACTTCAGTTACCCTTTACCTCCTGCCCTCTCTTTCTCCTGTCATGAGTGCCCCTCTGCCCCCAGGAGAAGCCATGCTGTCTCACACCCTGAGTGCCAGCCTCCTGTGCCCTTCCCTGCCTCCATGTGGACGTGTCCCGGCTTAGCTGCCTGAGATGCTGTTTATCCTTTAAGAGTCACCTTTTTTTGAGCCTTTTACGATTCTCCCAAGTAGAGTTGACATCTCAGCTTCATGCCTGCTATGCCTCATATGAAGCTGCAGTTCTGGGAGTGCAAAAACCTGGAGTCCATGCTTTGTGAGGATCTGTGCCTTCCTTCAAGTCGGGTGTTAAGTTTGTGCCTGTTCCTTGGGGCTCTGCACCTCTGCAACCTCAGCACCAAGCCCAGGGCTCGCCAAAACCACCAAGTGTTTAGAATGAGTGAATGAACTTGGCATAAATTTTACAACAGCGTGAACTGCAGTGGTACCCCAGGAAGTAACATTGCTCAAAGCTGGGCGTTCTGTGAATACTTTATTAAATTTAATGACTGAGGAGAACCATGGGTTCTACATCCTTTTAACACTTTCACATCTAAAATGTTTGCGGTCTTATTGCAGGATGTAGAAAACCATTTACATTGTTTTGTCTTTGTGCCAGAACATACCCACAGTTGTTTTTGGAAGATAGCTTTGACCAGACCGTCAGGAGCTGCCTCAGCTCACAGTCAAGTGGACGGTCCTGGCTTTCTGGCTGGCTCTTCCCAGGCTATTGTTGCAGGAGGAAGTCTCAACTGCCCCCAGGGCAGTGACAGTAAAGCTGGTGGCTCCCATTTCGCAGGCATCACAGAATAGCTGCCCCCAGGTTGTGCTGAGGAGGGCTGTCTGACTCTCTTGATCATTTATTACAGTAGTTAGCAAAAGCTGAGAGAAATGGTATATATGGGGCTTTTGTAAAAATATTTGGCCCATCTGTTCATCAGAATTGTCATTCTGCCACCGGGCCTTTCAAGATTTTGATGAAAGCTAATAGATCCTGCATCCCAGGATAATGATAATTTTATTACTATTGCTTTATGATAGCAAAAAATAGCTATCCCCAGTTGATCGCTTGTTAATGTGCCAGGTGTCCTTCTAATCCTGGTGGAGGTGTCAGCCTTCGTGTGCATGAACTGACTGACTGTCTGTAGCGACTCCATGAGGAAGGCACACCTCTTACCGTTCCCATTTTGCACATGTGGAAATGAGCCTGGAGAGCTCAGCCCAAGGCCACAGAGCTGGCAGGTGGAGGAGCCAGGATGCCACCTGGGCAGCCTGGACACTCTGCCATGCTGCCAGCCCCGACTTGACTCAAGACACACGTAGTTTTTCACCCTGGGTACCCCGAACTCTCCTCTGGGTTGAGCAGGTTCAGGGAGCCAACTCCTGGGACCCGAAGGTGTTGGCTCCTCCAGAGACTCACCTGAACTGAGCCACCCTTTGGACCCCAGACGCAGCAGCCTGGTGGAACCCACTGCAGTGTCCCCTCTAGGAGAACTGTGTCAGTTTCCTAGGCTGCTGTGACAAAGGCTCACAAACTGAGTGGCTTAAACAATAGAAATGTGTCCTGTCACAGCTCTGGAGGCTGGAAGTCTGAGATGAAGGTGTCAGCAAGGTTGGCTCCTGAAGGTTGTGAGGGGAAGGATCTGCTCAGGCCCCTTCCTGGGCTTGTGGGTGGCCGTCCCATCCCTGTGTCCCGTCACATCCCCTCCCACCAGTGCATGTCTGCGCCCACTTTTCCCCTTTGTGATGGGGCTACCAGTAGTTATGAAGGTCTAGGGCCCACCCTACTGGCCTCATCTTAACTGATTACATCTGTGATGAGCCTATTTCCAAATAAGGTCACATGGTGAGACACTGGAGTTAGGACTCAACATAGGAATTGTGGGGGGGCACAGTTCAACCCATAGCAAGGGCCCACAGGGAAAGTTCTGGTCTTTAAGCCAAGAGTGTGTTGTCCAGAGCAATTAGTTTGCTTTAAAAAAAAAATGTCAACACTGGCACTCCTGTGACTGACCACTTTGAGTTTCACGTCAGCTGTGTGACAGCTGAGAGGCCGAGGTGGCTCCCCCAGGCAGGTAGATGGGATTTCACGCTGTGTGTTTTCTAGCCTTAATTCTTTTGGGGGCTATTTATCTAATTTCTCACCTTCTAATTATGTTAACTTGTAGTATTTATATATAACCTGATAAACTACTTACATTTTTTTTTTCCAGAACAGCGAGCTGTATCATTAAACAAAGAAGCTCTTTCCTGTTTCTTGGGCCCACCTTTTATTTCTTCCTTTTTCTTGTTTTTACTGGCTATTGTACGGCTAATTCCCTTCCTTTCCTTTCCTACGGTGGTCTTAGAGCATCCTCTAACATTTAAAGCCAGACCTCGTTCGAAGCCCTTACTAAAATGGGGAAAGATCGCTTGGGAAGCTTGCTTTTTCCTTCTGTTTCTGAAGATCGTTTTTTTTCCTGCAGGGAAAGTCCTTAAGTCTTATTTGTGGGGCCCTCTCCTGGCTCCGTGACTTTGAACAGAAGAAGCGTCAGGAAGAGGCACGTCTCCTGGAAACCGGCCCCTCTAGGGATGAGAAGGACCCGTCCCCACTTCTCTCAGCTTCCTGCCCAGAGACGGCGGCCGCCCAGGGGCCTGCTGGAGAACCGGACTGGGTGACTCAGTTTGTGCAGAAGAAAGAAGAAAGGGACCTGGTGGACCGACTGAAGGTGAGATCTGGGGTAAGGAGAAGGGCAATGATGAAGGAAACGGCTTCGGCAATTACTTTGGGGTGATTCCGAGGCTTGGGGAGCATGTGTTCGTCTTTGCCTGTGTGGGGCCTCCTCACTCTCCCTCGGCTTTCCTGAGTCCATGGTGCAGCCCCTGTGCTGTTTCCAGCTGATGTCAAGAGGCCACCTCCAGAGAAGGGGCTGTGGTTCCCATTTGTTACTCACCTGGGAAAGGAGAGTGACATCATTGCCATCGGCAGCGTGGTTCCATGGCTGCAGACTCAGTTAAGGAATGAGTATGATTGGGGGCACGTGGCTTTGGGAGGGAGGCTGCAGACTGAGCAGTGGGGCTGGAGCCTGCGGAGGTCGAGGGTCTGGGACGGGGAGGCTGCAGCAGCCTTGCCGTTGCGGGGAAGGGGAGCTGTCCTGTGTGCAGGTGTGGGCTGAGTAGCCCCAGATGCTTTGGGAAAGGCCGGGGGCTTCCCACGTGAGTTTCCTCTATGGCTGCCTCACCCTATAGGAGGAGCAGATCCGGAGGAGGAAGCGAGAAGAACGCCTGCAGCGGATCCATCACAACTCGCAGCTCAAGAGTGCAGCCAAGCGCCTGGTGAGTGTCATCTCAGGGAGGGGCTGGGGTCATGTCCACGCAGTGTCACGCTGCATGGAGACTCTGGAGAGTGGCCAGGCCTCGGTCTCCTCTCCCCGACCCCGGCCGGCTAAGTTCCCCACACCCTGGAGCTGGGCAGCGTGAGCAGAGCAGGCCCCGATCCCCGGAGCCCGTCCCTTCTCCCATGGAGTGGCGAGGCCTGCGCTCTTGGGCACGCAGAGGGTGGACACACCCGTGCTGAGACGTCTCCCACTTACCCACCTCCAATACCCTGTCCAGAGACAGGAAGAAGAAGAAACCGAGAATCTCCTCCGCCTGAGCAGGGAGATGCTGGCAGCAGGAACGGGGGCTGAGCAGCCGGAGCAGCTGGAGTCTGGGGAGGAGGAGCTGGTCCTGGCTGAATATGAGAGCGACGAGGAGAGAAAAACAGCTCGAGGGTGAGACTGCTGCTGCCGCTCCCCTCTGCCCTGGGTTGTGTGGGCGCTCCCGCCAGGGCAGCAGTTTCCCTCCTGCCAGAGACACTCCTAGAGCACCGGTGAGAGGGAATGACAGCCACCTGCCCCCTTTCTCCCAGCCAGGCTCCTTCTTAAGGCCATAAATGCTGGGCCAGTGACAGCCAGCCCTTCAGTCACTGGCCTCACGGCTGCTGACTCAGTTATCCTCACGGCAGCCCAGTGGTGGCAGAACATGGGTGTCTGCACTTCGTACACAAGGAAGCTGTGGCCCAGGGAGGGGACGTGCCTTGGCCGAGGCCACAAGGCTAGTGAATGGAGGGCCGGGACTGACGCCCAGCCAGGCTGGGTCTAGATCTCATGCTCTTAAATGTCCAACTGCACTGTGCGAGGTTCTGACGTAAACCATTAAGGCATCCTTAGCCTGAGTGTTCCTTTTCACCTTAAGACTTCCGTTGATCCAGACTGGTAGGTTTTTATTAATACCTTACCAGCCATAACATGCTGGGTGATTAGAAAACACTGAGCAGCAGGCCATTTCTGGATCACACGACCCCTTGTGAGAGCCCCATTTCCATTCACACTTTAACTTCACCAGCACCCTTCGAGCGTGTGCTCTGGGTGTGCACAGTCCAGATGCCCTGGACGTAGAGGTGCATGAGGCGTGGCCTCACCCTCAGAGAGCTTGCACTTCTGTGGAGAGAGACAGATAATGAGCCTATTTGAAATCAGCATGTTCACCTAGGAGGGGAATGAAACAGGTGCAGCGGATGGGGTGTGGGGCTGCACCTCCAGGGGAGAGGTCTGGAAAGGCCCTCCCGGGAGCTGACTGTGAGCCGAGCCCTGGAGGGCGAGCAGGAGCCGTGGGAAGGCCTGGGAGGAGAGAGTTCCAGACAGAGACCAGCCAGTGCAGTGGGTGGAAGTGGGGACAGGTGTGGTGTGTGAGGGACTGAAGGCCCAGGTGCCAGAGCACAGGTGAAGGAGGGGGAGGGAGGAAGAAGATGCCAGAGAGGAAGGGGCGGGTGTATCTGCAGGCACCAGAGGCCAGGGAGGGGCTGGATGTCGCTGTCATCCAGGGGGAGGCGAGGGAGTGACGTGATCTGATTTGCACACTAGAAAGGTCATTCTGGCTTTGAAGGTCGTGGCTTATCCCCAAAGGCACAAGGATTCCTACAGATTCTTCCCTCTTAGGCCCCCAGCTGGGGAGGGGTCTCTCCTGCTTCTCTAAAGGTGATGACATGTCCCATGTTCTCACTGGTAGCGTGGTCACCATGTCTGTCTGGAGGGTGACTCTAGGGCCTGGAAACCCTCCATTGACTTTTGTGAAGGATAATCCAGGCCCCTGTGACTTCACCTCCAGCCTCCCTCCACCAGATGCCAGGGTCCCAGCTTCCCTGGCCAGCTGAAGGGGCAGACCGAGGCTCTGAGAAGAGAAGAGGTTTTTCTGGGCATAAGTGTAGCATCTTTCATTCACTCATCGGTTGGTTGTGGCTTCATCTGGGAAGTGTGTGTGGGGTTCCTGCTGTGTGCCAGGCCCTGGGGCCCTGGAGACTCCGAAGAAACGAAACAGACCTGGTTCTTGCCGTTGTGGACATGACGGTCTGATGGAGACAGACCAAGAGGAAGTGATTTTTGAACGAGACGAGTGTTAAGAAGAGCAGGTGCGGGTTCCATGGGAGTGTGTCGGAGCAGCCGTGCCTACTGAGGAAGGTCAAGGAAGGCTGCCTGGAGGAGGCGATGTTTATGTCGTGATCTCAGACTTGGCTGGGAGTTGGTGAGGTGGGGGAGAGAGCATTGCAGGTACAGGACAGCGTGTCTGAAGGCCGGAGGTGTTGAGCAAGTGTGTCCCGGCATCTGAGAGGTGCAGCTCGCTGGAGGGAGGGAAAGGAGGGGAGAGCAGCTGTGATGGCTGCAGGTTGGATGATGGAGCTTATGGCTCGGGGTTGGGGTGCTACGCGCCTTTCTCCTTTGTCTCCACGTTTCCCTGTGTCCACTGACCTGGAAGGCTGGAGTGGCATTTGCCTGGGGGTGTCTCTGAACAAGCAGCACCTGTGGCTTTGGTGGCACCATTACTGGGATTGTGTTTCTCCTTTCTGTCCCAGAGCGAAGCCCCAGTTCTGTCGGCTTGTGAGAAAGGGGCTCTGTCTTACTCAAGGGTCATTGGGTGTCCAGGGCTTGTCGTGGGGGCTCAGTAGATGCGCAGGAAATGGTGTTTAGCTGACCTGAGTGTGCTGAGGGAAGACTGCTGTCTGTTCTCTCTTGTGCGCAGAGTGGATGAGGATGAGGATGACCTGGAGGAAGAACATGTGACTAAGGTGAGACCCGTGTCCTCAGGTGCTGCTGTGTCTGGGCCTGCGTTCTGGGCTCCCCACCCCAGGGAAGAGGGCCAGAGTGGCTCCGGCTGCTTCTTACCTTCCTATCGATGAAGGAGGGGCTTCCAGCCTGTGGACTCTGTGGCTTCCCTGGCCCAGCCTGGTCCCCAGTTGCTCGCCTGGCAGGCTGGGCCCTGGGGAGGCCTCTTCTGGGAGCGAGGCCTGGCTTGTTGCTCCAGGGTGTCGAGGAGCAGCTGTCCTGGGCTGAGGTCTGGGCTGGTTCCTGCCTCGATGGGATGGTGGTGCTGGTGGTGGGTGGTGTCGGGGAGGACAGGCAAAAGCGTCACCCTTCCAGTCTCTCCTGGTTTGTTTCTTCTCTTCTCTGTATTTCCATCTGCACGGAGTGCCGTGGGGTACTTGTGGTCTGACCCTTCTCAAATTCACACATGCTGGGATTCGTTCATTAAGACTTTAGTTTTCTGTTGAAAGTAGGTATTTTACCCCTGTTTTTCTCTTTTCTAAGCCTTAGAGCAGTAGGGAGAGAATATTCAGCTCAGCCTCCTCTTCTCTCTTTGGGGATGTGTGGGAACAGCCCTCCCCCGACACCCTCCCCAGGACGGTAGGAATCTTGGCCACACTGAGAGTCACCCACCACTCAGGGAAAATACGCTTTCCTGAGATTGCCAGGCCCTCCGCAGTAGTGGATTAGAGGCCGAGTGTGACTAGTAGAAGGAGTTAACTCTTGTGGTTATTCCTGTAAACTTCTGGAGCTGCAGGAGACTTGGGGAGTCCCTGGGGTCCTCGCTAGATGAGACCTGACATGGGCAGTCACTGCCTCAGGTTGTACATCTGTAGCTGCTCTGCCTGTTCCCTTGGCCTCTTAGGTTACAGCGTGCCTCGGTGTGGAGGCGGGCTAGAGCGTTGGAGTCCCCTCTTTGATGCCTTTCTTTTCCTCTGAGCAGATTTATTACTGCAGTCGGACACACTCCCAGCTGTCCCAGTTTGTGCACGAAGTACAGAAGAGCCCCTTTGGCAAGGACATCCGGCTCGTCTCCCTCGGCTCTCGGCAGGTAAACAGCAGGAAGGTGTCTTGGCCCAGGTGCCATCCTGCTCCTTTGTTCTGTGCCTTTGTCTCCCTCGTCCAGGCCCGGAAAGGTGCTGGGTGTGAGGCCGGCTGCTCGGCCCGTTCCCTGGCCTGACTGGTGGGTTGTTGGAAGGAAAAGGAGAGGCAGGCTAGGCTGGGCCGGGTGGGTCCTGCTAGGTTGCTTGTGTGTCACTTGGCACCACTATCTCTTTGCCTCTTGTTTTCTCCTGTCTTGTAGAATCTTTGTATAAATGAAGACGTGAAGAGCCTGGGTTCTGCGCAGCTTATTAACGACCGCTGCATGGACATGCAGAGAAGCAAACACGGTAGTCACTGCGACTCTGGTGCAGCCTCGTGCAGTCTGGGGAGAGTGGGCAGGGCTGGAAGTGACCGAGGATATGGGGCCAGGGACACGGGAAATAAAGACCATAAGTATCTTAAGTGGGAGGAACGGCAGAGCAGACCCTGGTTCCTTCCTAAAAACGCTTTCCTGGGGAAAGGGGAGTCCTGCCTTCTGAGCCAGTGTCTAGCCCACACCCCTGGCTTGGAGGTGATTTTATAGACTCTTTGTGGAGAACATAACATCAAATCCCAGAGTGTCCTGATGACCACATGAGCAGTACTCAGAAGGGTTTTATAGGCCTCATCCCCTGGAAATGGGTCTTAACAGGACAGACTCACTCTTGGCCGCATAGACAGCTGTTGTCCTCTCTCTCTGTGTTCCCCTTGTGCCTGTGCCACATTCAGAGAAGAGAAATGAAGCTGAGGAGGAGAAGCCAAAGAGGAGGAGGCAGGAGAAGAGGGCTTCCTGCCCCTTCTACAACCACGAGCAGATGCACCTCCTCCGGGATGAGATCCTGGCAGAGGTAAAGGACATTGAGCAGCTGGTGGCCGTCGGGAAGGAGGCCCGGGCCTGTCCCTATTATGGGAGCCGGTTTGCCATTCCTGCAGCCCAGGTGAGGACTCTGGAGGGGAAGTAGCTCTGGGCTCTAACTGGGGCCTAGGCCATGGAGGAGTCCTCCTTGCCCTGTAGTTTGGGAGAACGCCACACGCTGTGGTTAGACTGATAGCTGCACCATGTGCTGATGGCACCTAACCCATTCTTCCCTAGTATATGAGTCGGAGGGGGCCCGTGGATCCCTTGGTGGCTCTGGGCTGCAGGGCCAATTGGCATTACTGGGGGACAGCAGATAGTAGTCAGGAAAGATCGTGCATTCCTTGTGAAACCACAGTGAGAGCTGAGAGAAGTGCAACAAGGGCATGACAGCACATGACTGCATTTCTAAACGGCTTTTCGGAGTGACAGTCCCCAACTTGCACACCTGCCTGCAGCACGTGAGAATACAGTTCTCTTTGACCTGCTGTATCTTTAAGCAGTTTTAGGAAAAGCTGCTAATTTGACAGGTCAAAAATGGTATCTTACTGTTACTTGGTGGGTACGATTGAACTGTTTTCTTGCTACTTCCTTAACTTAAGTGGACTTTGGAAAGAGGATATCACTTATGGAGAATTCAGTGTCATCCAGTAGGTTTTAAAAGCTGCAGGGAACTGTGTCAGTGACCACTTCCACGGCAGCTAAGTGCTCACCAGCGCAGCACTGTAACTGAGTGTGGGGTGCGCACAGAGCTGGAGGAGCACGCCCCGCCCCCACTGTTGTCCGGTGCCCTCCCTCAGGTCCCTGCCTCACAGCAAGATCAGTGCTGTAGCCATTCATGCACAAATGCCATAAGATGGCCTGAAATTGTTGTGGCTTTCAATTTCTAAAGCACTTTTCACCTTGTTTTGCCTTTCTGGTACTCCAGTGACATGGCTGCAGTCTACACACGGGAACCCTGGGGCCCAGAAAGGTTAAGGGATTCATCCGTTTTCTCACCGAGAGTGAAGGATGGAACCAGTATTAACACCTGGGCACTGAGTTTCCAGTTTTCTGGATTTTCATTTTATAGCTCAATATTCTTTCTTTTTTTTCTTTTTGAGACAGAGTCTCGCTTTGTTGCCCAGGCTAGAGTGAGTGCCGTGGTGTCAGCCTCACTCACAGCAACCTCAAACTCCTGGGCTCAAGCAATCCCACTGCCTCAGCCTCCCGAGTAGCTGGGACTACAGGCATGCACCACCATGCCTGGCTAATTTTTTCTATATATTTTAGTTGGCCAATTAATTTCTTTCTATTTATAGTAGAGACGGGGTCTTGCTCTTGCTCGGGCTGGTTTCGAACTCCTGATCTTGAGCAATCTGCCCGCCTCGGCCTCGCAGAGTGCTAGGATTACAGGCGTGAGCCACTGTGCCCGGCCTAGCTCAGTATTCTTTTAACTGGAAAATCTTTTTTTTTTTTTAAAAAAAAAGAAAACTTAAATTTCTTTAAATTCTTTTCATTATTTTTCTCTTTTTTTTCTCAGTGACCTAAGCTGTGGTATAACTGGAAAATCTTTGTAACAACTTATACTTAAAAATGTACAGGAGGCTTGTATTTTTGTTAACCCTACCTCTGCTCCTTAACTCTCACATGTGGTAGACTGTGTCAGGCCCATTTTGCAGATGAGGAAACAGGATCAGAGAGGTTAGAAACTGTTCTAGAGCCACACAGCTGGGAAGTAGCAGCCCCAGGAGTAGAAGCCAGGGCTGCTTTCTGGTGCACAGAGGCTTGGCAGTGTTGGGAGGAAGCTTGGGGGCCTCCGGGGCTACCTTGGGCACAGAGAGGCGGTGAAGCAGCAGGGTTCCAGTCTCCCCCACCCCTGGCCTTGGTTCAGTCGGGGGTCAGATCCACTCCAGCTGGCAGGTTTTGTACATTTGCACATAGAACTTTGGAGGAAAGGGTTGGGTGCTGCGAGCACAGGGCTGTGGGGAGTTCTGTCCTCAGTATCCCCACATAGAAGCGTTCCCGCCAGGAACTCAGAGTGGGGCGGGCCAGTCTGCCGCAGGGCGAGTCCGCCTGCTCAGGGGGCCGCGTCTCTCCTCCCAGCTGGTGGTGCTGCCCTACCAGATGCTGCTGCACGCGGCCACCCGGCAGGCGGCCGGCATCCGGCTGCAGGGCCAGGTGGTGATCATCGATGAGGCCCACAACCTGATCGACACCATCACGGCCATCCACAGTGCGGAGGTCAGCGGCTCCCAGGTGGGTTGGCTCCCCTCCCGGGCCAGGGCCTGCCACGGGGCAAAGGGACGTGGATCGTTTCTCCAAACTCCTGGGCTTGGAACTCCTCCGGAGACGGTGCTTGGAGAGGAGGGTGGGTGCATTGCGTCAAGGTAGTAGTGACTTGTTGGAGGCTGACTGGGGCTTTCCAGCAAATCCCAGAAGCCTGGGGACCCAGGTCCAGCAAGAGGCTCGTCTCCCTGCCCTTCATGTGCCCTTGTCATCCTGAGTCCCCGGCCCAAGGCACTGCTAGCCAGTCCTCTGTGACCTGGGCGAAGCAGGAGTCCTTGTGCAGCTGGACCTCATTATTATCCATGTGGCTTTGAGGGGATTCAACTGAGGATGCCCAAGACCTCCGCAGGCCACACTGATCACCTGCGATGTGCCCTGCACGACACTAGGTGTCTGCTCTTCACACTGCCTCTGCCATTGGGGCAGGGGGCGGGTCCTGTTTACATCGGGAACTCGAAGATAGTTAAGCACCGTGCCTAAATTCACACACTCATGAGTGTGGAGCCGGGCTCTGACCATGAAACCCCCAAGACATCCCACCATCTCTGCAGACCAGTGCCTGGGTTGGCCTTAGGCCAGGATGTGATGGTGACCTTGAACCATCACTCCTGGAGACGACGGGTCTTTTCCCAACCCGGTACAAACTATCAGGGAGACTCCTCCCTGAGGGATTCAGCCTCTTGCTTTTCCCTGACCCGGAATGGACACTTGAGCAGAACTTACTTCCTTCCCCTCTCCCAGCTCCCACCAGCCTAAGGGCCTTTAAACCTGTACCTTCTGTGCGCGCCCAGCCCCGCCCCTCACCTGCACGCCTCCTGCGTGTCTGGGGCCGGCATCTCCTAGGCATAGTCTGAGATTTACCGGCAGCCCTCGGCTGCTTGCCCGGAGCCTGGTCGGCCCCCACGCCCATCCGTTCTCTGTGTTCTCTCCCCAGCTCTGCCAGGCCCATTCCCAGTTGCTCCAGTACATGGAACGATACGGGTGAGCACTGCCCCTGAGGTGGAGGGGAGAATCCTACACAGCCTCAGGGGCCCCTAAGTCAGCCTCTGAGAGGAAGCGCGGGAGTTACCACCTCAGCCTGCACCCACAGTGGGGTGGTGGGGCAGCTTGCTGTCCATGTCCTGGGTCCATCGCGCGGGAGTTACCACCTCAGCCTGCACCCACAGTGGGGTGGTGGGGCAGCTTGCTGTCCATGTCCTGGGTCCATCGTGGTGTGCTCCCCGCACAGGCCCAGGATGCTAGGGACAGAGCTGTGGGCTCTGAGGGCCTGGGGCCATCACTTGTGACCCTGTTGAGAGGCATCAGATGCAGAGTCTCCAGGTGGGGCGGTGGAGGGCAGGTGTCGTTGGAGCATGGCCTCTTCACGTGCCCTGCTCTCCCCTCAGGAAGCGTCTGAAGGCCAAGAACCTGATGTACATCAAACAGATCCTGTACGTGCTGGAGAAGTTTGTGGCCGTGCTGGGGGGTAAGAGAGCGCCCACCCCTTCATGGTAATCTTGCCTGCAAAACTTGCTGGTTTTCTTTTTCCTTGGATGCCAGGCAGGACGCCTAGATTTTCTACATCCTTAGGAATTGTCTTGATTGTTGATTGAGAAAATTCCCATTCTTTATAGCTTAGTTGTCTGACCTGAGATCTTTTCTTAGAACTCTGTTTGCCCATGCTCTGAGTCCTTTTTATCTCACCAGACTACTCTGCAGGTGGAAGTAATGACACATCCTAATATAAGCAGGGAATGTTTGTGTAGCTTTGGCGTTTGCAGGGCACTCTCACGTGCACAATGCTGTCTGCCGGTGTGAGGCGAGCAGCACGGGCATCTTAACCCTCCTGCACAGACCAGCAAACTGCAGCTTGGCAGGGGCTGCTTACGAGTCAGGAGCCTGCTGGGGAGACTGGGCTCTGCCTCCAGCCCCCACGTGGTGTGCGTTCTTCTGGGCCACACGCCCTCCCTGTGTCTCATGGCTCTTGGAAGGCTTCTGCAGAAGTGAAGGGCACAAAGCCTGTGGGGTCTCCTGAGGTATCCAGTCTTGTGCTGGTGTCCTTTGCCTCCCCCTCTCTCTCGCCACTGGCTGACCATATGGTCTTTCGTAGAGTGGCAGGTCTGCTGGCTTGCCACCTGTCCCTGCCTCCTGGAGCAGGCGTCAAAAGAACGCACTCATAGGCAGGGCTTGGTCCCACGTGCAGACATGTGGGTCAGACTCGAGACTCCTGGACGCTCCTGCCCTCTCTGTGGGTCCCTTGTGTAAATGGCGAGAATCGGAATGGCAGCTGATCACATGAGTGCTCCCCCCACCTGAGGGTGCAGGGCGGAGGGTGAGAAGATGGGGCAGTGGGGCCAGAGGTCCTCCCTCCTGACCTGTTGGGATTCTCTTTTCAGGGAACATTAAGGAAAATCCCAGCACACAGAGCCTCCCACAGACAGGTGAGAGAGTGGCTGTCAGAGGGCCCGGGACTGACCCGAGCCACCTCTGAGCTTAACTCTGGGGCTTGAAGCCCAGGGCTTTGGTGAGGCTGCCAAGGCCTTCGTTTGTCTCCTCTCAGGGACGGAGCTGAAGACCATCAACGACTTCCTCTTTCAGAGCCAGATCGACAACATCAACCTGTTCAAGGTAGAGGCTTTCTTCTTCATAGTGTACCCGTCAGGTTTCCTTCTCATCGCCACCTGTGGGCAGAGTACTATGTTAAGATCAGGGAGGGAAGGAAGAGCAAATTCCTCCAGTCAAGCGGTGTAAGGTCTGAGGATCCAAACCATAGACATTTGTAATTACTTGACTGTTAAAGCAACTTCCTCGCAAGAGAAAAGTAGTCTTCCTTCTGGGGCCGAGGGGTTGCAGGATGGGTGAGAAAGAAAGGTGCCTTCCTTTGTGCCTCACAGGCACAGATGGGGACCACAGGTCCTCACCGCCCTACTCTGTCTCTCTCCTGGCACAGTCTCCCCCTGGGCAACTGGACAGGAGCAAGAGGCTGATTTGGGGGCCGCGCTGGGCAAGGACGTGGTGGAGGCTGCTCTCTCGTCTTCCCACTCGGGCCGTGGCATTGTTCACAGCCTCAGACCATTGCTCACTCCAGGCCTGAGTGCCCAGGGCCACCTGATCCCAACCTAGTGACTCTAGGCACAGTGGGCGCCGCTGTGGATGGCGTACTGACTGTGTTCCAGGAGGTGTGCCAGGTTCTGTGGCCCCGAGCTCCCGTGTCCTATTGCCAGTTGTGAGCAGAGGAAACCAGATTCAGACAGGTCACCTCGGGAAGGTGATGTGCACGAGTCTCCCTGAGTGAGGCAATGGCACCTGGCAGAGCTGGTGTCCGGGCGGGCCACCAGTGGCGCTGACTCAGCCTTGCATTCTTTCCATCCTGCCTGCATTCCTCCTTAAAACCAGCTTTCCCCTGATTCACCCAGTTTGATCATTGTCTCTGCCATTGTCCATATCTGACAGGCCAGAAATCCAAACTGTCTTTGTTACCTTTCTCCATTTTCCTGCCACACCCACATAGCTGCCAGGCCGGTAGCCTCAGACAGCTCTGAGTTTCCCCTCTTCACCTGCTAGCTGCGACTCGAGCGAGCTCAGGCCGGTCTCTCTCTCACGATCCTTCCACTCCCCTTGCTTCTGTCCTGTCCCCCTTCCCGTAGGCCTTATGAACTGCGATCTGGTGAGTGCTCACTGAGGGAGGGGAGTCTTCAACAGGCTCCAAACTCCTCATCTCTGCCTCCCATGCCAAGGTCTGGCGCTAAACTACACGTACTGTGCACACCAGCTACACTGTCCCCCACTGTCCCTGCACAGACCCGGCCCACCTGCTTTGTGCCTTTGCCTGTATCAACTCTTAATTCTTCCAGGCACAGCTTAGATGCTGTCCCCTAGAAGGAAAGCAGGGGCGACATAACTCTTACTGAGCATCCTTAGAGAAAGCAGTGACAGTGCGCCCTGCTCCTAGGGTGGAGGAAGGTGGTGGCCTTTTTGTAAATTTAGATGACAGCTTGCTTAGTGTGTGCATGTACCTGCAGCTGCTCGGGTTTTGCAGGTGCAGCGGTACTGCGAGAAGAGCATGATCAGCAGAAAGGTACCTGCTCCCTGTCTTGGGCCTGCCCTCAGGGAACTCCAGGGTACCCTGGTTCCCTGGGCTCCTGGGTGCACAGTGGCCTTGCTGGGGTGGAGGGAGGTGGCCTGGTGGAGTCTCTGGTCCACTTGGTCTCCCTCTTTCCACTGCTGCTCACGCCTCTCCACTGGGCTCTCTGTCCCGACCCAGCTCTTCGGCTTCACAGAACGATACGGCTCAGTCCTCTCGTCCTCCCGGGAGCGGCCCAGGCTGGCTGGGTTTCAGCAGTTCCTGCAGAGTCTGCAGCCCGGGGTGACTGAGGGTGAGTCAGGAGGGTGGCAGGGCTGAGCCAACTGCAGGCCTGGGCAAGAGCATCCGTTCCTCGTGTGTGGACCGGACTTCAGGGAGGCCTTCTCCCCCTCTGCGCTCTGTGTAGCCCCTGCGGCCCCTGTGGACGAGGGCCAGGCCAGGGCCCCCACGTCCCCACTGATGCACATCGAAGGCTTCCTCGCAGCTCTCACCACGGCCAACCAGGACGGCAGGGTCATCCTGAGTCGCCAAGGTAATTAGGTGCTTGCTTCGTGGCCAAGCCTTGTCCCCAAGCAGGAGCCAGCCTGGAGCCTGGGAGCCACAGCACAAAAGGAATCTGTCCATCCATCCTGGTACCTTCCTGGGTTAGGAGGAGGAAACAGGGCAGCCCCCTGGGAGCCAGGGCAAGCGAAGATGGGAGCAGGGGACACAGGTGCTGGGAGGGCAGGACCGGCAAGGTTCCTAGGGACCCTGTGGCCTGGTGGTTAAGGTGAGATGGGCTTTGATTTGAGGCATGGTTCTGTCACCTGCCAGCTGTGTGACTTGGACCAGTGTCTCTCTGATCCTCAGCGTCCCCATGTGAAAGGGGAGGTGACAGAACTATCTACCTCAGAGGGATGGTTGTCCTGGAGGTTAAATGGATGTAATTTAAAGAGAAAGTGCTGGCTCTTGAGCCTCGTACACAGAGCCCCTGGAGATCCCCCTCACCTGACCCTGGAAGTCTGGGTGGGCCTGCACCCACCTCTCCTCACGTGTCACTGTCCTCTTTTCAGACAACCTCAGTCAGAGCAGCCTCAAATTCTTACTGCTGAATCCAGCTGTGCACTTCGCCCAGGTGGTGAAGGAGTGCCGGGCAGTGGTCATTGCGGGGGGCACCCTGCAGCCGGTAAGGACACCAGCCCCAGCTCTTGTGCCCAGGTGTTGGGGTGGGGCAGGGACAGCGAAGGACACCTCATCAGGCCTCTTCCCTGTCCAGGTCCCCAAACCAGAAAGAGGCCAGCTCGAGCAGGCCCAACAGTGTCCACTAGGTGGCGCCAGGGCGCCACCTCACTGCCTGGCCCTTTAGGCTGGAGGGGGAGGGGGCTGTGGGCACCCCGCTCTGGACCCCTGGGGGAGGGGGCGGTGGGCACCCCACTCTGGATGTCCCCAGCCAGAGGGTCAGGCTTCTCCAGAGAAAGCAAATGTGTGGTTCACACTGTCACATAGGTGCCTCAGTGCTGTTCCCTTCCCATACCCACTATCAACCTTCTCTCTTATAAATGTGTTTTATTGCATATTTTTAAATGAAAGTACTATATTTTCCTTGTAGAAAGCAGAGATGAGCAAAAACAGGAAAAAAAATAATTCCACCAACAAAAGGTTGATTTTTGTGTATATTAATTATACAGTCTTTCTATGCAAAATTTTTATATATGTGCATATGTATTTAAAACCAAAACAAAAATGGTGTTATCTCTACATGTTGTTATTATAATTTGTTTTTTTTTTTACCAAGCACCAATGTGTCATAGACGGTTTTTCCCTGTCAGAGAGTAATGCATTTAGTCCGCCACATTCCAGCTGCACCGTATTCCAGTTCTGCCTGTACATTGTATTTTATATGTTTTTTTTTTTTTTTTTTTCTTTTTTTTTGAGACAGTGTCTCGCTTTGTTGCCCAGGCTAGAGTGAGTGCTGTGGCATCAGCCTAGCTCACAGAAGCCTCAAACTCCTGGGCTCAAGCGATCCTACTGCCTCAGCCTCCCAAGTATCTGGGACTACAGGCATATGCCACCATGCCTGGCTAATTTTTTCTATATATTTTTAGTTAGCCAATTAATTTCTTTCTATTTACAGTAGAGATGGAGGTCTTGCTCTTGCTCAGGCTGGTTTCGAACTCCTGACCTCGAGCAATCCGCTTGCCTCGGCCTCGCAGAGTGCTAGGATTACAGGCGTGAGCCACCGCGCCGGGCCTCACTCAGTCGTCTTTTGTTAGATATTTAGACCAAACAATACTGTGATAAATGCAACCAAATCCCTGCACAGTGATGATTTCAGCCTAGAAAAGGACTTACTGGATGCTGTTCAGAATCCAAAGAAGTGGTTCTCAGCCCCAGCTACCTGTAGCTTTTTTATTTTTATATTTCTTTATACAGATTCAAAGATTTTTTCATGGATTTTTATTCATTCAGTATGTTAATGTTGCTTATGGTCATTATGGTTTTTCAGGCTCACATTTTCTCAAACTTGACTGGTGAGAACCCCATCATACTATCTTTGGTCCTTTTGTTTTTTTTTTTTTAGAGACAGGGTTTCACTCTGTCACCCAGGCTGGAGTGCAGTGGTGCCATCCCACCTCAGCCTCCTGAGTAGCTAGGCATGTGCCACCACGCCCGTCTAATTTTTAAATTAATTTTTAATAAAAATTTTTTTTGAGACAGAGTCGTACTCTGTTGCGCAGGCTAGAGTGAGTGCTGTGGCGTCAGCCTAGCTCACAGCAACCTCAAACTCCTGGGCTCAGGCAGTCCTTCTGCTTCAGCCTCCCAAGTAGCTGGGACTACAGGCATGTGCCACCATGCCTGGCTAATTTTTTCTATATATTTTTAGTTGTCCAGCTAATTTCTTTTTCTTTTTAGTAGAGGTGGGGTCTTGCTCTTGCTCAGGCTGGTCTCGAACTCCTGAGCTCAAATGATCCTCTCGCCTCAGCCTCCCAGAGTGCTAGAATTATAGGCATGAGCCACCACGCCCGGCCATATATTAATTTTTTGTGTAGAGATGGGGTCTCGCTATGTTGCCCAAGCTGATCTTGAACTCCTGGTCTCAAACCAGCCTCCTGCCTCAGTCTCCCAAAGTGCTGAGATTACAGGTGTAGGCCACAGCACCCAGCCCTCTGGTCCTTTTGACTTGGCCCCGTCAGTCTTGCTTTCCAGCACAAAATGTCCCAGTCTTGGCGTATATGTTCCTTGCTCCAGAGCCAGACTCATGCATTTTTCCAGAGTGCCTTGGTTTCTTCCAAAGTGCCTTGGTTTCTTTTAATGGGGAATGATATTTAGAAATCAACACCTGGGTGCTAGGGTGTTTGGAGTGCCCTTGGATTATGGCTGTTTATAGGGCATTTCAGTAAACAGACCCAGGAAATATGTTTTTAAAAATCATGAGTCCATATTGACACAAATTATTTGATTTTTATTTAGAAATTTGACCTTATATTGTGTCTTTTCTCTTAAGCTGAACATTTGGTTTCTTAATTATGTTCACATAACCTGCTATATCCTGCAGTATACTATAAAATACTTTCAAAATTATTACACCAATATTATTTCTCACAATACATCTGATTGAAGCTGCACTTCTTTGCATTTATTTTCGGCCCTTGGAGTATATCACACTACAGATGTGTGGTCCCTAGGCTATGAAGTCACTTGAGATGTGCTTTTCTGTGTGCGTTCATGTTGCTAGTTTGATAGATAGCAGGCTGTTTCTCTTTTCGTTTTGTTTTTAATTTTAGAATGTGCTTTTTTCTTTTTTGACTTAATTATATTTTTAAAAATATGTAAACATCTGTGTGATTCAAAAAGTCAAAACTATATAAAAAGATACATTCAGAAGATTCTCACTTCCATCCCCCTCCAGCCTTTACCCTACCCCCTGCAGGCCATCAGTCTTACCAGCTACTGGTCTACACTTCCAGTATTTTTTTTTTTAATACAAAAAGCAGCAGCTATATGTCTTCATTTGTCCCATTTTTGTTTACATGAATGGCACCTCGGCCTCCTTGCAGACAGTCCTGCTGCTGTTCCAGGAAAGATCCTGGTGCACCTGTTGTTTGGTGTTTGTGGGCTGTGCCCTCTGGGTAGACTTGTGAATCTGGGATTTGTGGGTTATACAGGATATTTCTTAAATATGGTCTAGTTTCCCTCGGTGGGAATTGTGCTATTCTGTGCCCACCAGCAATGGCTAAGGATGCCTGTTTCTCCACAGGGTGCTTAAACTGTGGGGTTTTTGACAGTTAGGCAGGTGAAGCCCAGGAGATTGCTACTCAGTGGTTCGGCTGGGCCTGGCCGTGCGTATTTGGTAAATTCCCACCGGTGCTTTTGATGCACATCCTGGGTAGGGAATCAGATGTGTTGAATCTCCTTCAGTGTTCCTGTAGGTAGTTTCAGTGAGACGGCCTGTGCTGGACACTGTTCACATTTCTTTCTTTTTTCCAGTTTCTTACCGACCTTTTACCGCTTTTTTCTGTTGGTGTGTACTTGCGCCTCTTAGCCCAGACTCCTGTCTTCTCTCTTCCCCACCCCTGCCCACGCTCAGGCCTGGGTTCCTTCCGCTGGTCCTCGGGAGGTCACAGGCCTTGACGTTGTGGTCTGCAGGTGTCCGACTTCCGGGAGCAGCTGCTGGCCTGCGCCGGGGTGGAAGCTGAGCGAGTGGTGGAGTTTTCCTGCGGTGAGCAGCCGCGTCCGGGGTGGGACGAGCTGAGCATGTGGGCCCTGGCCCCTGTTGCACGACTGTGACCACAAACTGTTATCAGGCCCGGACTGAGAACATCCCAGGGCGGGAGCCTCGCCCTGTCCTGGCTGTCTCGTGAGCTCAGCTCCCTGCTGCTCACACCCTGCCCCTCCATCTCCTGCCCAGTGCTACTGTGGCGATGGGGTGCATGGGCAAGTGTCACCTGTCGCTGCTCTGAGTCTGGAGGACGGTGGGGAAACGCCCTTACCCAACTCCCCCTCGCAGAGCCTCTGCAGCTCCAGGTTTCAGCCCCTCCCTGGGCCTCACCAGGTCACGTGATCCCCCCGGACAACATCCTGCCCATCGTCCTCTGCAACAGCATCTCTGGCCAGCCGCTGGAATTCACGTTCCAGCGCAGGGAGCTGCCACAGATGGTGAGTCCCGGCCTGCCTCGCCGCGCCGTGGCTGGGGACGGGGACTTCTGGGTGGGGGCTGCTCTGGCCCATCCTCAGGCCTCTCCTGGAGCCCGCTCAGGGTGAGCAGTGTCTGTCTAGATGTTTATCAAGGAAGGTCTGAGCTTCCCCCACCCCGACCCCTTAGGCTGCTAAGTAAGTTTTCCGGAAGCCTCCCACATCCCTTTGGTACACGGCACAGGAGAAAGCCGCTCGTCTCCTTTGGTTCTCTTCCCTTCAGTTAATCTGCCCCTGCCTTGGGCAGGGATGCAGGTCTTGGGGCGCAGCTCCATCCCTGGGGTGTTCAGCGCCTGACCTGTCTTAGAGGGTGCCCATCAGGACACTGGGAGTTGCTGTCCCCATGGCGACAGGGAGTCTCATCTCTGGGGCGCAGCACTGGGAGGTCAGTCAGAAAGGCGGTCAGTGGCCAGAAGCAGCAGCTGGGGGTGTGGGGGGAGGGTGGCACGTTCCGCTCTGATTCCCACCCAGAGGAGCCACTGGGCAAAGTCCTCCTCCCTGGCTCTAGTCACACCGTGGGTCTCTGTCCTCAGTTGTGAACCCCAAGGTTAAGAAGCCATTTATGAAGGGGGTTTAGGCCTGCTCTGTGGGGGGCTCTTTGTCTTCCTTCCTCAGATGGACGAGGCAGGTCACATTCTGTGTAACCTGTGTAAGGTGGTTCCTGGAGGGATGGTCTGTTTCTTCCCCTCCTATGAGTACCAGCGCCGGGTCCACGCCCACTGGGAGAAGAGTGGCCTGCTGGGCCGCCTGGCCACCAGGAAGAAGGTGAGTGGCCCTTCAGCCGCACCTCCTGCTCATGAAGACAGTGCCACCCAGAGTTCTTCCTGGGCTTGCCACGCTCAGGGAGTCGGGTGATTGGGCTTCTCCTGGTTCCTCAGCCCCACAGCTCCCCGCCCCTGACTACAGAGGGTTTGCCCAAAGCCCGTAGCTCTGTGAGGCTCTCTCTAGTCCCCCGGCTGGAACACACGGGGCCAGAAGCAGACCTGAGACCCAGCGTTCTGGACCCATCCCTGGGAGATGTTCTCTGCTTCCAGATTTTCCAGGAACCCAAGAGTGCAAACCAGGTGGAGCAGGTGCTGACGGAGTATTCCAAGTGCATTGAGGTAAGAGGGTCACTCCTAGGCTTGGGTCTGGAGACCACATGGGATTCACAGGTGGAAACATTTTGGGTGACATCCAAGCAAGCTGTGGCTCAGCAGCTCTGAGCTGGGTCTGTCCCGCAGCGCTGTGACCAGGCGAAAGGCCGGGTGACGGGGGCCCTGCTCTTCTCTGTGGTTGGAGGAAAGATGAGTGAAGGGATCAACTTCTCTGACAACCTAGGCCGGTAAGTAGTGGTCCCCTCCCACCTCCTGGGGCTGTGGTACCCAGCTGCCCTGCACTCCAGGCCGCTGGGCCCCTGCCTGTGATCTGCTGCCACCCGAGTCCGCGACCAGGCTGTGCCTGCTCCGGGTCCCTCAGCGGTGGGGGCAGTGTTCCAGCAACCCAATCTGGCCCTTGGAGAGCAGGTGGGAAATTAGGCCATAACTTTCCCAGGACTTTGCTCATTGTAGATTGGAGCAAACCCAAGGAGTGGTGGATTGTAGCAGCTGGTGGTGCAGGGTGAGGACCCAGGCAGGGCCAATACTACACACACTAGCTCACGTCTCCGCCCTAGGTGCGTGGTCATGGTGGGCATGCCCTACCCCAACGTCAGGTCTCCAGAGCTACAGGAGAAGATGGCCTACTTGGATCAGACCCTTGTGAGTGCCTCCAGTATTCAGAGGATGCGAGGGCAGCGGGGGTGGTGGTGACACCCTAGGCTGAGATGGCAAGGCCTGCTGACCCATGGTTCCTGTCCACTGAGAGGTCTGGCTACACATCCACACCCTTTGATCTCCTCTGTGATGTCACCTGCGGCAGCATTGGCCTCCCCAAGCCTCCTGGTCTGGCTCTAAAGCCTGGCAGGGTGTTTCCCAGGGAGAGTGGGGACGCTAGGCAGGAGGTAGGACACAGCCCTCACAAGGTCATCTCCTTTACCCTTCCCAGCCCAGAAGGCCAGGGAAGGCCCCCCCAGGGAGGGCTTTGGTGGAGAACCTGTGCATGAAGGCTGTCAACCAGTCCATAGGTAAGCCTGGGACCGCGGCTGGCTATTGAGGTGGATGGGTGGAGAATGTGGTAGCAGGAAAGAGGGGCTCACTTGCCCCACACCCCATCTCAGGGCTGAGGAAGGGTAGGGGACCCTGTGGGGACATACTGCCTCGGGGCTCCAGCCTATCCATGCCCATCCAGGCAGGGCCATCAGGCACCAGCGGGACTTTGCCAGCATAGTGCTCCTGGACCAGCGCTACGCCCAGCGCCCCGTCCTGGCCAAGCTGCCAGCCTGGATCCGAGACCGCGTGGAGGTCACAGCCTCCTTTGGCCCCGCCGTAGCCATGCTGCGGAAGGTCAGTCCTACCTCTTCCCTCCCCCGAGAGCCTCCCCCACCCTGAGGTCTGGTTTCTCACTGCCCTGTCCTGTCCCCACAGTTTCATCGGGAGAAGTCTGCCTCTTCCTGATGCACAGGGACACCGCTGCCCCCGCCAGGCCCTTCCTCGACCAGGGCTGCCGGAGATAGTGTGTGGCTTGGGCCTGGCCTGCAGGGAGCCTGCCCAGGAAGAGGATGCTCGGGGAGAGCGTTGCGTGCAGTGTGCTGCCAGGGCTTAGGCGCAGGTGGACGAGCCTGTGGGAGACAACTTGGCTAATCCTGGAGAAACGGGGGGGGGGGGTGTCCCTGGGCAGCCCCCTCCCTGGAATCGAGTCTGTCTGCCCATTCAGCAATGCCAGGGGGCCATATGCCTCTGTCCTTTCTCACTAAAATGAGCTGTTCTAGACTTTTCACCCTATCTTCTAAATTTAAAATATTCCCCCATTTCCAGCCCCTGGTGGCCCTAGGGCTCTTGAGTGTCCCCAGCCACCTGAGCAAAGGGGAAGACACCTTCTACCCTGACATCAGCAATTATGCCAAGGGTCGTTTACCTCTCAGCGTTACTATTTAGAGACCCATGTCTGTCACTGAGACTCTTTTTCCTGTGGGAAGATATTCTCCCTCCCGTCTGCAACAGCTGCCTCTGGTGTCTGACCCCAGAGAAAGGGGCCTTGGTACCCCAAGATGTTCTGCCCCATCACACAGACCCCCTCGGGGCGGGAGGACAGCGCCGGCTCTGAAGACATGAGTGCAGCCTGCACGGCTCCTGTCCCTTAATTAAAAGCACACTGGTGGTTTCTGCCCAGCTCTGGTCACACTGCTTTATTGATCCGAAGTGCTGGTGTCTGGTGTCTCTACAAGTCTCTTCGGGGACGATAAGAGCCCTCAGGTGAAGGGGTGGTGTGCAATCACACGGTGGTGCCCCAGTAGCTCTGGGGCCTGCAGCCAGCGTCCCTGTCCTTGAAGAAGGTCCAGGCGCACCCCTGGGGCCGCCCAGGCCTGCGAGGAAGGATGGCGCAGGTCCCTAGGACTCCCAGCCGTCCTCGTTGTCCTCTCTCTGCCACTGCCGAGGCAGAGGCGGGATGGAGTCTGACCTAGGGTCTTTCCCGGAGATCCCTGGGACGGAAAAGGCTGAGAGTGAGGGAGCTGGGATGGGAGGCACCAATTCACCCGGCCCCCAGAGACTTAAAAACAGGAAGGAAAAGGCAAGAGAACATGGGAGGTGCAAAGCATCCCAGGCCCAGCCCAGGGAGGCAGCTGTGCTCCTACCTTTGCGCCGCATGGCCAGCTTGTTAAAGAGATCCAACATCAGGTCCCCACCTTGGCTTGTGGCTCTCACTGCAACACAGAAGCTGCAGGTCAGGGGTTCAGTGACACGGCCCTCCTGGTTCCCTATCCCCGAGACACCCTCCAGCGCTCCACGGCCTCTCGGAGCTTCATCCCTGGCTGCAGCACTGGGCACTAATAAGACAGTGGTGACGTTTGAGGACCACTCTCACAGCCACCCTGGGAGATCCTACATGGGGAAGAAAGTGGCGCTTACAGATTCACAGCAGACGAGCCCTGCAGGCTCACAGAAGTGGCACTGAGCTCACCCTCAGGTCTCTGTCTCTAAAATACCTGACCATTTCCTTGGACAACGCTTGCAGCATCTGAGAGGATTCTCTTTTGTCCTAGTGTGAGCTGGGTGAGCTTAGACAGGAAAGCACCACCAAGTGGCTCCCAAACCAGGAAGGAGCCATGCAGCTGGGGTGTGAGCCTCAGCCACAGGGGGGAGGACAGAGGGCACCCTGAGGGACTTGGGTGGTGTGGGAAGGGAAGGTGGTGTCTTGCTTGGAACCCTCCTACTGCAGTGGCCCTGGGGTGCCCTCACCTTGTTCCTGCTCCAGTTTCTTCTCCAGCTTGCGCTCCTTGACACTGCGCAGCTTGGCCTTGCCGATGCCCCCAGCTTGGCGGATGGACTCCAGCAGCGAGGCCCGGGCGCTGGAGGGCTCGGTCACCTCCTTGGGCGCTCCCAGGACCGGAGCTGGGAGGGGAGAAGGTGGGAGGAGGAAGGGCTGCTCAGGCAGGGCCGGGCTGTGGGACAGCCTCACCTAGCCTGCAGGTGGGGGTGAAGCCACAGTCCTGAGTTGTCACCTCAAGAGCCTGGCTGTGGGGGAGGCACCTCCTCTTTCTTGAAAGAGGAAGCGGGTGGTGCAGCAAGGCCTTCGGAGACCGCGTGGGGCCTGGACATTGACGTCTGCAGCCGCCCGAGCTCAGGAGTGCTGTGTGCAGGCACCCCCTGCCCCGTCCACCTCCGTGACCAGGTGCCACCCTGTAGAGGGGCCCTGTGAGTTCCCCACGTGCTGACACTGTCTACTCGACACGGGAGCCTGCACAGCGTCTCTGTGCCGTTTCTGGATGCTGACACAGCCTGGGAGGTACGGTTCTTAAATTTGCTTTCTTCACGTGTTCAGAACCTTAGGCAGGAGAAAACCGGTGTCTCCTATGATGCAAGGGCCGTGGCAACCTGGCCTTAAGCTTCACTGAGGATGTGGAACGCTCAGTGAGCCTTTGCGTCACTGTGCGTTCCTCAAGTCTTGGTGACAACCCCCCCACCGACCCCAGTTCATATTCCATATCCCAATTCTTTTAATACTGCGCTGAGCATCCTTCAGTGAAACTGCCTTTTATCCTAGCACCACGGCTCCCACTCAGCGAGCAGACAACTATGTTATCCTCAACTATGTCTCAACTTCACTCGCCACATCAACGCTATGCTAACAGTTCCCTTGAGCCCACTGGAGCTGCAAAACTAAGTAATCCCTAGAAGGCCGGGGGGACGAGATTGGTGGAGGACGCAGCCGGAAGTTCCGAGGGCAAACCCAGAGTGGAGCAGCCAGGGTCCCTACCATGTCACGGCCAGCTGCGCAACTCAGAACTTCTGTCAAGCCTGCACCTTAGTACTTGGAGCCGTTATGCAATGGATGGGATGGTTATTCAAGACGGCGGTTTCCACGTTCTGATGTATGCTCCCCTCGAGTACACAAGAAAGCAGACCAAAGGGACCGATGTAGACAATTCAGGCCTGTGGGGATTTGCGGAGAGCACAAGGGTACATGCCGGGGACAGCTATAGACTCGTCCTAGCAAGGACATACCGCGCGAGCATCCCACACTCTGATTCCTCATGACTCCTCCAGGATAGACAAGCTGTCATGGCCACTCTATCCTTGACTCACACCTAAAATGTGCTAGGCACTGCTATGCCTCTTCTCCAATCAGTAGACCCCGAGACCTGCAAGGCAGGTGGACCTGTGGCTGCGACAGGCAATGGGAAGCGCCACGAGTCTCTAGCCAACTCACTCAAGTAAATACTTGGAAACTAGTTTTCTCTCTACCAATCATGCTGGGTGCAGCTCAAGTATAATATGACCACATACGCAAGACCCAGCTAAGGTACTGATTGTACTCATTTCAGAAGGTATCAGTCCGCCTCCTGTATCTGTGGTTCAGCATCCATTGACTCAACCAAGGATTAAAAAATAGTGCAGCGGATGGCTGGGCAAGGTGGCTCCATACCTGTAATCCTGCACTTGGCAGGCTGGCAGGAGATCTCTGAGCTGGATTCGAACCGAGCCTGACAGAGCGAGACCCTGTCTCTACTCAAAATCAGAAAATTAGCCAGGTGTGTGATCGCACATCTGTTTCCACTACTCAGAAGCTGAGGCAGAAGATAACTGTCCTAGAGTGTAAAGTTGCAGCTAGAGCTATGATGACTTCCACTGCACTCTACCAGAGTGAGACTCTATCTCAAAAAACAAAAAATTTTTTCAGGCAAAAAAATTAAAAACAACAATTTAAAAACGAAATTTAAAAACCATACAGAATACACTCCCTCCCAGCACCTCTATGCTTGTTCAGCGGAACGGCCCCCCTCCTCCTTGGGGAACCCCCTTCTCCCTCGAGGCTCAGTCCCTGTGCTTAGGGGCGACAGCCAGTGCTGAAGGAGACGCCAGGTCTAAGCCAATCGTGGTGTCCACATGCCAGCCAGGAATTGATTATGGTGTAGACGTGAGAACCAAGCCAGACCAGATGGGGGCGAGTGTAGACTCTGGAGGAGACGTTGCCCAGTGAGACATTCTTTCCTGCCACGGGCCCTGAGTTTGGGGGGGCCACAAGCCTTGCCCCCGGCTGTCACCTCCACCACGAGGAACATGTGTGTGGAACCAGAGCCAACACACAGGCCCAGCTGAAGTGGCGTGAAAGCAAAACCAGGTCCTGATGGCACCATCTGCCCTTCCGCTCCAGAGCCTGCTCTCCTGCATGCTCACTTCCCTGCCCAGCCTGGCTCGGGTCCTGACGGGCAGGCAGCCTCCGAGTCTTACTTCTTCTTCTCTCCTCTGAACCCATTCTGTCTGCAAGTATCTTCGATCGTCTATTAGTGGCCACGGCAGTTCACGCTGTGCACCAGGAATCAGCCAGCCTGATGCTTCTCCCCCTACTCTAAGCTCACAGATGACATCAGACGGCGAAGAGCTGACACTTCGCTGAATGCTTACTAGCTGCCAGCCACGGATTCATTCCTTTGCATGTTTTAATTCATTTAATCCTTACCATAAGCCTAGGAGGAACATGCCATTACTATCGCAATTTTA